AAGCTTAGGTGTTAGATATATAAATACATAAGAATTGAGGGTATTACATTTGCATTAACAGCAGTATTTGATAATTGTTTCAATCTTGTGGATACAAAATACATACAGGTATGGCATTACATGTTCTTAAGATTACACTTCAGATGAACTCATAAATACAACATATTTCTTAATAGAAAAAGACGGGGATTAGATATAAATAATCAAGTCAACCCAAAATCAGCTCGAGACATAAATAATACATATATTTATTAATACAATATATACACTCGTATATATGCATATGGGTATTATAAATATACATACAAGCTTACAAAAAATTTTGGGGGATTGACATACATAGCACACAATTCTTATGTATTTACATGTTTCACATCTAAACTTTCATATTTAGAAGCATAGCACTCGAATCTTTAAGATCACATCAAAAATAGCATTATTATCAATTTTTAAAAGTGGAATACATAAGAATTGTTTGCTGAATATGTAAATTTTCTAAACATTTTTTTAAAAATTTATGAAGGGAAAAAACATCAAATAGACTCTAAAAATACCTAATTTGAGCCGAGCTAGCTGAAAATCAAATCAATTTAATCCACGTGCAAACCTAGAGCAGGTTATATATGTTTCAGCTGTTATCGAGCTAGGATTGGATTGCTCGAAATTGGATCATTTCTGGAGATGAAAGAAATAGCATGTGCTGCCATGGTGTGCTCCATGTACAGATAACATGCACCTACTTGTACAACTGATTCACATTGCTAGTTCAGAGGTAGCATCATGCCATATAATACATCATGCATGCGTTTGCTAAAAGATGCGACCAACCAATCCAAACTACATTACAATAAGAAAGAAAAACATTTTCATATTTTATTTCAACGGTGAACAGACTGCTGCAGAGATAGTCCCTACTTTTCATCGCAATTTACTTTCTAAGAACTATATAGGTGTTCTGCCTTTTTATAATAGCTTGTTTTATATTGGTTTTGCAGCGGTAAAATCAACTTTATTATAAAACAAACCCATGAACTTAAAATTGTTTACTAACAGGAAACAGAAAGCAGCAGTAAAATTAACTTTATTATAAATGCAAATTCATGAACTTAAAACTATTTACAACCAAGAAACATTGGGAATTCTGTGTTATTTATGTAAAGCTTGGGAATTCTGTGTTATATATGTAAATTAAATCAAAAATATTTCTTACATTTAGGTGTGAGAAATGTAAACTCATGCATAAAGATCTTCTGCTAGAAAGCTAACTACTTTCAGCATTAGCATTGGTGCTAAAAAAATACTGCAAGATATCGCAGTATCAAAAAAATAGCCCAACAATTTTCATATAGTTCCCATGTATCAAACTAAACAAAGGAAAACAACGGAATAGATAAATACGAAGTTGAAAAAAAATCAGAGTAAGCAATATTTTTTATAATATTCAGCTAATAAGTTCTCAAATTCTTCATTCATAGGCATACTATCTCAACAGTTATTCGTTCCCTCAGCTCTGCCATCTCGCTTGCACCTTCCCCATCTACAGTGAAGGCGATGGAAGTCTCGGTCTCTTCTACTATGAAAGACTGACCTAAAAGGTTTTCAAAGGCTTCCGAAGGCACATTTTCTGCATCCTCTTCCGCCAAATGGAAGTCAATATCGCTACGGGAATGATGTCTTCTTATGTAATTATGGGGAGTCATTATAGCAAAAACAATCTGTACCTGCTTCGAAAAATTGTAGGGAGGCATATCATGGAGTATCACCCATTTCTTTTTCCAGACACCAAAATTCATGTCAAGTACACCACGTAGCGATGAATGTCGTTTATTAAACATTTCCTTTCTTTCTTGTGTATGTTGCTTGCACGTGCAAAGTCTAGTATGTGATATCTCGTATCAGGAAATGACTTTAAATTCTCTTGTTGCAATGGGTAACCAGCATCAACCAAGTAATATTTGCCTAATAAATAGAACAATTAGTAAGGAGATTCAAGTTGCTATTGGGATTCCCAAGTAATATTTGCCTAATAAATTAAACAATTCGTATGAGTTTAATCCCGAGTGTACCTACAGGTGGATGTGGAAATTTGCTATTGGGATCTCGTGTCGCAGATTTAAAAACTCGACTGTCATGTGCGCTGCCCTCCCAGCCAACCATAACAAAAGTGAAACACATGTTAAAGTCACAGACGACCATGACATTTTGGGTAGGGCTATCACAACGACCGATAAATGTCACATTATCATTATTTGGGATACGTGCGTCAACATGTGTTCCATCAATCGCGCCAATGCAGTCTTGATGAGTAAATGTTAGGTTTGACACATCATTGCTTACCCTTACAAAATTAACTATAATGCATTCGAGAGAATACCTTGAAAAAGGGCATATATCGTGCATCACGTGATATCTCAGCGAGTATCTGCTCAAACTTATAATCTGAGGGTCTGATGACATGAGAAGACAGACTAACAAATGCGCTCAATCCGATTAAGAAATACTTGCTTATTGTTTCTGATGAGCGTTGAAATCGCTTCATCTCTCCTCGCATAGACTCATTTTGGGATACTATGAACAGTGTTATTGCGAGCACCTCACGTGGATTGGTCCTCGAAGATCCATGAAGACCGTGAGATCCTATGAGCAAGTCCAGAAGATCGATAAATATTGTCTGGCTCATTCAAAACATATTACAAAATCGTGTTGGGTGCCCAACAAGCAACTCTCCAACCCATTTGTCGCCAATATAAGAAGAATTCATGCATGGTGACTGATCAATGTACGCATAATAGTACTCTTACATCAAACATATTGTTGTCTGAAACATCCCTCTCCGCTTTCTTTTGTGTGTATCCATGTGGGTCTCCATCTGTCTTCTTCTATTTGCATTCTTAGTGATGGGTATCCCTAAATGTTTCCCCTAAACAAGTATCATTTATATGAGAGTTGGAGACAATAAAAAAAAGAAATGTTTGCAAAAAAATAGTAAAATATCAATTGTTCAAACGATTATAAAAACGCAGAATATATGTCACTCTGCGGGCGGCTGACATCTGCACAAGGAAATCCCTACGGATCGGGTCCTCTAGCAATTCTGCTACGAACAAATACAACTCTTCATCTGCATAAATTTTGGTTGTAGCACTTAGGATTTCAAGTGCCTCCACGATAGTGCTTGAATGAGAAGCCTGACATTCTGCTTTGAAACAAGAAACCGTCTCAAATAGCTCGTTTCTGAGGGAAGAAGCACCGGATTTTCTTTTATCAACAACCCTCGGACGTTCAACCCTCGGACGTTTGGACTCGGACGTTTGGAACGGGAAATTGTTTCATATTCGTTCTGATCTGGGTTGGGGGCGTCAATGAAATCAACAGAACCTCCAGGGGTTCCCAAATTCACGGCATTGCTAGCAAACCCTGTCTCGCTTGGGCTACATGCATAGTTCCCCGTTGCAACCACTCTCCCAAACATACGGTCAAGTTTCTTCTCCAATTTAGACTCAATTCCAGAAAGCTTAAACTACTTTGTAGCATGCACCACCTACATAGAAATTGATAAACACACAATTAGAATAAAATATAACGTTAGAAATAAAGAAGTTTACAAACAAAGCTCACCGCAAGTCTTTCAGCCCACCATTCCTCAAGTGCATCAATTGTTCGCTTCACGGGATCCCAACCAAGACCGGTAGAACCCCTTTTCAATTCCTTCCAAATTTTTCATTCATTCTTCATTTGGTTCCACTTGTTCTTCATTTGCAACCTGTCGTATTCTCTGTCTGTACATTCCTTGAAATTTTTTATAATAATTTGTCATCATTCTTTATTGAAATGTGTCGTATGCCTATTTCCCCGTTCAATCTCTTTAAGACAAAGATTGCAAAATATTATTTTCATATCTTTTTCCCACAATGCGAGTGTAGCAATCTCTTTAGGCCTACTATCCATGTTATTACTATATCAAAACAAAGTCATGAAAAATAACAATAAAATCAATTAGAAAGTAGAAAAAAATAAAGTTTAGGCGTTAAATATGTAAATACATAGGAATTGGGATGCAACAAGCATTTGTTGTACAGTAAAATCTAACAAAATGAGAAATTCTTGCAAGCCAACCTCCCCCATGATAAAACTCTTGCAAGATATGCTCTAAAACAGACCACAAACCCTCCATTCTATCAACACTTAACGGAACAAATGATTCACGTTTCACATAATCGCATGACACTTTTATAAAACAAAGAAATAGAAAAGTTTACATTGTTGTGGAAGAAGAAACTTCTCAACTCGCCAAATCAAATTTCAAAACTCTTTTCAACGGGGAAGAGAGCTTAAAAATAAGGAAAGAATATGGAATTACCTACCTCGTGCTTTCTGTATTCGATCCTGGTCGAGGAAGAAGAACAGGCGCGGTTACACCAGGCGAGGAGAGATGCCGAGGCGCGGGAATCGGTCCTGTCGAGGAAGAAGAACGAAAATAAGGAAAAAAGGACTGGGAAGAGAACTCAAAAAAAGGGAAGAAGATGGGATTACCTGCCTCGTGCTTTCTGGATTCGGTCCTGGTCGATGAACAAGAGAGCTCGAAAATAAGGGAAGAAAGCTCGAAAATAAGGGTGCAGGAATCGGTCTTGAAAATACTTCCTCTTGCTTTCTGGATTTGGTCTGGTCGAGGAAGAAGAACAGCCTGTCTCGCGCGGGAATCGGTCCTGGTCTAGGAAGCGCGGCGACAGAGGGAAGGCAGAATGAGGGTTGTGACGGCGACAGAGGGAGGGCGGAATGAGGGTTGCGAGGGCAAATAGAATATTTGACGAGGCGAATGCTATGGCCGCAGGGTGGATACCGCGACCTGCTTTTCTCTCACTGTAGCTTCCTTATGTCGTAACGCCGGGAGCCAAATAGCTTTTTTTCACGATTCAAGGCTGTGAAACCACAAAAAAGCGGCTCTAGAGGGAATTCATCAATGAATAAACCCTATTAAAAAAAAAACAAGCTCTTGAATTTCCACTATGAAATCCACATAAATCCATCAATGGATAAACCCTCTTACCTCCACGCGGCCGAGGGCTAGCCTCACCTGGAGCTTTATTATTCGCGCGTGCCCCCCAAACGATCCCCTAAACCTCGTTCATGGCTTCCATTCTCCGGCCAACCGCGACATCGCTTCACAAAACCCTCTCACTTCCATGGCTTTCTTTTCCACCACCTAACTCCTGTGCAACCTTCACTCCAACCAGAAGAAGGTCATCGAAGTGCAATGCTTTCTTCGGAGAAATTCCCGGTGATTTCTTTCAAAACGCTGTCCATATAGACGATTCCAATCCATTGTTTCCTCTTCTCAAGTTTGGTGTCTCCCAGTTCGAACAATTCACTGTCGGGTTGCCGGAAAACGGGCGGTGGGTCATCCTCACGGCCACCGGACTTGGCTGGATTTACTTGACGGCGAGGCCGGGAGTACTGATGGGCGCTATTGACACTTACATTCTGGCCCCCTTGCAGCTGGGCTTCGATAGTTTGATTGGCAGAAGGAACTTGAAGATGAGTGATTTCGTTGTGGGTGAGAGATTGGGGGAAGGATCGTTTGGCGTTGTCTATTCCGGCGCCATTGTGCCCAAGAATATTTCCGTGGAAGAAAGGGTGGGGAAGGCCAAGAAACGATTGGAGAATGATGACAGGTTCAAAGACAGAGTAATCTTGAAAAAGGCAAGCTCTCGATTAAGCTTTCTGTAGCCTTTGATATTTTTGTGGCATTCATCGATCATCCCTTGAGCATATCTTTTTGGTTACTCTTGATAGCAATTGTGTCTGCGATTAGTTTCTGAGTTTTATAAGCTTATTTTTGTTAGTTTTCTGATTTTCAATTCTTTGCATTTTATGGTGTTCATTTCCACAACTGCAATCCTTCGATTTGGAATGCCAAAATTCAGTTTTGCAGAATAGATTAGGTTACTCCCAACCCTCTTTCCTACTAAATTCTTAGGAGGCTGTATTGCAGCAATTAGGATTTAGTAAATCTAGTAAATTCAGCTTTAGTAAATCTTGAACCAGTTAAGTCCTTATGTTATTGGGCATTATAGAGGTTAAATTTGGCTACTTATTTTAGAATTTAAGTCGGTTAGCTTGTATGGAATTTTAATAATAATTATTCATGATGAAATTAGTACAAGTAATATTTCATTATCTATTAATTCATAAATTATTGAGCTAATTTAATATAATAATTTTTATGTAATTGTTACATCACAAATAATACTTTTTATTAATTAATAGTTATATTAATTTATATTAATTATTAAAGCTAACTTAAATTTTATTATCATATTTGTATCTAATTTATTTTATCGGTTATTCATAATATTAATTACTAAGAATTTGAAAACTTTAATGTATCATAATCAATTTGATTAATATAATAAATAATTATTAATTAATAATTTATCAAATTGATTTTAATGTAATTAAATTTAATTATATATGTTAGTTATTGCGTGCTATAAATTTCGTGATGATAGAGTACGAGATTAACGTTGTAATGTTGTTCAAAGTTTTAACACACACATAAATAAAAGAATAATTAAATAAAGTGACACCAGAGATTATATGTGTAAAATATGGAAAGGAAAAAAATCACAAAGTTTGGCTTAATTATAATTATCCAGTATATATTTAAGTTATAGTGATTCACTCTTCTCTCTAAGTGGAGAATGTGTGATTAAAAAATTTTGACTGAATTACAAATATTAAACAATAATAGTCTGAAAATAATAATTTGGTTACAACAACCTAGGACAATGAAAAGAACTTGCATAGGTTGTACGAACGCGGAGCTGCGTCCGGACAACGGCCGAGATGCACTGATTGTGGCTAAGGAAAAAAAAAAATCACCGTGATCAGTGCATTGCGAGCGTTGTCCGGACGCAGTAGCATCCAGACAACGTACGCAAGTTTTTTTCCTAGGACAACAATAGTTGGGCTATAGCAACTACTAGTAGTGGTCAACTACAATTGTTGGTGGTTGTTATCTTCAAGTTACTTCAAGAATTTGGACTTAGCTCTTAACTTCCTCTTTCTTGTGAACATTAGACTCTTTTTGTAGAATTTTAAGAAATATTTTAGTAAATTTATCCAAAATTTTCAAAACATTCAATTGGATGGTCCATGATCAATTTGATCATAGATCATTTTTTAGAATTTCAAGTATCTTAATAACCTCAAAACTGAATGATCTTAAGCTCGTTAGATTTTTCTCGTGGATATGCTTGATTTTGCGATAATCATGCTGAATTTTAACATCATTTGGCTCTTCCATTAATGCTATTAAACTTCTAATTATACTTCAAATGTTTGATTCAGGCTTAGTTTGACTCTTTATATTAATTTAGTGTTGTTAGGTTCATCTTATTTAAACTTTCAGTCTGATTATAAATTTGCTCAAGTTGGAGCTTGATGATGACAAACTTAAATTTGAAATTTATTTCTTCCAAAGTGTTTTGAGATTTGTGCTTGATCAAGTGGATTTCTCAATGGCATATCAGTTCTCCTATTTTCGCATGCATAAGCTTGTGTTGTTTAATAACATATATATAAAAAATCTTGATATGCAAATTTATAATATTAAAAAATTTACAAGGCACGAACATTCCGTAGACATCAATGTGAATCTCCCCTTAGAGATGGGGGTGTAAAAGCATTGAGTCGAGCTTGAGCCAACTTTGGCTTGAGCTTGATTAATTAATCAAGTTCGAGCTCAAGTCTACGAGCCTGCTTATTTATTATAAAAACAGAAAATAATATTAATTTAAGTTAGTGTTATTTTGAAATGACAAATAAAATGAATAATTATGAGATAAATAATAAGAAATCACTTAATATTAAATATTAAATGTCATTTTTTTAATATTTTAAATTTTTTAAGGATAAAGTATTGTAATTTAATATATTTTGAGTATACCTTGTGTTAATTTTTTTTTAAAAAGAGCTGGCTCACGAGTTGATGAGTCAAGTCAGGGCTGGCTTGGGCTTGGCTTATTAGCTAATTGAGCTCAGTTCACGAACCAGTTATCGCTGAGTTGACGAGCCGGCTTGGTCCGCTTACATCCCTACTTGGGGCCATGAATGATAAAAGATATTCTCAATCATAATTTTAGTCATTCATAAAAATTGACATGTTGATTGGAGCAAGTCTTATTAAAATATCAAATTCCATGTATTTGTTAAAAATTGCTTATAGTTGTTTCATTAGGTTTTATAATTATTAAAATTGAAATCTGAACTTTAAAAAATAGTGGAATATGCATCTTAGGGCTTAGGATAAGCTAGATCGCTATCGTCATTGTTGGTGTTATAGTCACTCGCACATATGCATGTGACCACATATGTGTGCAGGAGAGCTTGTGCATATGCGATAATGCAGGCACACAACTCTGCATGTAGGGTCATACACATGCAAATGCTTAGCGGGCTCGCAGGCGTGGGCTCGCGGGCTCGAAAGGGAGAGTGTGCATGCGCGCTCATGCAAGCAGTTGTGTGTACAAGGTGGGTTGTGAGTAGTAGCGCAATCGAGTGCTTAGCTATTGAGAATATAACTTTATTTTATTTTTAATTCAAGATGTAAAAATATTTTTAATGCAAAATGACCAATAATAGTTGAAAATTTGCTTGATTTTTACAAAAGATCCCCAAATTTTTAGAAAATTTGTACAATTTTCTTATAACTAACGTCTTCTTTTCGAGTATAGATACGCCTCTTGTATGAGGTGAAATCTGATGCCCTTTTCTTCTTTTCTTGCATGCTCTAGCTTTTCTTAAACGATGTTAAAACTATATGCTTAGATGAAACATAGTTTTCCCTTAACATGTTCCATTGCATCTCTACCAAAATTACGGGGTTGTCCTTGGTAGATATAAATATGTAATAGCAAGAAAATCTTCTATGCCTTCATCTGCTCTAATTCTTTTCTTGTGGTATCCAAATCCTTCTCTTAGAGAAAGGTTAAATACAGTTGTGCTTATGCTTAACATAGTACAAGATCATTCTTCATAGATGAAGTTTTTGCCCAAAACATATAATTCGGATAGTGTGGATTCAATCTTTCTTACAAAAAGAGGTTGATTGTCTTTGTTTAAATGAATTGGAATTATCATAGTTTGGGGATCACATTAATGTTGACAGGCAACAAGATGGTAGTTTGATGGTAGTGATTGAATAATGGTGATGCAATGGTGGTGTTTTTTTTTTTTTTTTTTTTTTTTTTTTTTTTTTGGGGGTTGTTAGTTGGTGGTAGATCGATGGTAATGAATTGGTGATGACAATTTGATGGTGTTGGACCAATGGTGATGTTTTGATAGTGATAATGAGATGACAGGGTGATGGGCCAATGATGTTGATCCATTAGTAGTAGTTTGATAGCGATGGTCCAATAATGATGAGTTGATGGTGAAGATCCAATGGTTATGGTCAAATAATTACTTGATGATGTTTTCTTATGTGGAAGAGATAGAGATATCAACCCATTTAAGGTTATTTTTTGGAGTGTTATAGTTGATATTTTTTTGCATGAAAGAGCACGAATGGAATCTATCAAAGATATTTGACTTATCTAAGGTTCTTTATCATAATGATACTCGCAACGTTAGCCTGTGTGAAAGAGATTGAATTAAAATTACTAAAGATGTTTGACTTTTACGAAGTTAATTGCCGGAGTTACTCATTGACATTGTCTTTGTGAAGAGATCAAAGAAAATCCATCATGGATGTTTGACTTCTCCAATGTTATTGTTGAAGTGTTATTGAATGATGTTAGCCTATGCGAAAGAGGTTGAAGGAAATCCGCTAAGAATGTTTAACATATTTGAGGTTGTTTAACAGAGTATTACTCAAGAAAGTTAGCATGTGTGAAGAAGTCGAGGGAAATTCACCATGAATGATTAACTTATTTGAGGCAGTTTGTCAAAGTATTACTCGAAGACGTTAGCTTAAGTGAAAGAAATCGAATCAAATCTCCCTGGGATTTATTGTACCGTCATCAGGAAGGGTCGATTGTTGTGTGTATCTTTAATTAAAGATAAAAATTATTTTGTATTTAGACCGTTATTGTCCTTGTGATTTTCGTTTCACCCTTGTTGAGGTGTTAAAATTCAGTTGGAGACTTTATGAAGAGTTTGATTTATTATTATTTTTGTTCTGCTACATATTTTTTATTTCAAAGAAACCTCAAGAGAGATATCTGTCGGTAAAGTTGTCTTGGATGCATAAAAAATGTTGAATAGAAGGTCTTAGTTGATTGAGACTCTATTTGCATGTTAACATAAACACTTTTAGATGCTAGAATTAGGATTACCTCCCAATCCTAACTTATTTCCCTAGAGCTAATGAATAATAGAAAGAGACATGTCTTCAAATTAGAATCATATTTGATATTTTGTTATTTTGATGTCATGGTCTAGGTTTTATAATCTCATGGTTAACAAAGGGAGTGTCCTACTACAATTGTGCCTAGGACGTTAATGTGAAAGACCTTTTGAGATTGGAGTAAAAATACCCTCCCAACCTAGAATCATTTCTTATGGTTTGGGCTACATAAGATACATGTATGACAATATTTAGGGGGATGACATATTGTCTTGATGGAGGGAAAATTCTAGCCTTGTGATGAGGGGGTCTTGTAAAAGTGATCTAGAGTAAACACTTTTAATAGGTGGTCGATTTTGGTTTGGTGAACCCCCTCATGTTATGCTTGTACGGTTGTTGGGCCTTCCTATAGAAGTCAAAAGAACTTATCTTAAGATTTCTCCAGTATGTGTATAAGGTTATGCTTGTCAGGTTGGAAAAGATCAACAGCCTAATGTCCTTAATTTTTAGATTATTCGTTGAAATGGTAGGTATTTGAATGAGAGACCCTATTAACATGACTATTTTGTCTATTGTCTATCGAATAAATACTCATGGAGCTTGGAAAGGTGAGAGCTTCCTATAAACGGTGCCAAATTGTTGCATGCTAGAAAAATCACTGTGATAGAATTAGAGATTAATGTCTTAGTGTTGCATGAAAATCTAACACACGAAAATAAAAGTTGAGAAAAAAAATACTAGAGATTTTATATGGAAAGCCCGAAAATGAAAAATCACAGCCTGACCTAGTTTGAATTATCTACTATGTATTTAAATTTTCTAAAATCTACTATTTTCTCTAAGTAGAAAAAATACGATTACAGAGCTTTGACTGACTTATAAAGATCAGCGAAACAACTTGAAAATAATAATCGAACTACTATAGACGTATGCTGATAGTTGGGTTATAATAGCCACTAATGGTGGTCATCTATGATTATTGGTGATTGTTGGTTTCAAGCTTTCCTCAATAGTTTGGACTTACACCTTAATTTTTTCTTTTTCCCTCACATTTCATGTGAAACATGAAGCTCTATTTGTAGAGTTATAAGAAGGGCATTTTGGTAGATTTTTAAAACTCTCCAAAATATTCGATCAGACAGTTTGTGTTGATTCATTTGATCATAGATCATTTTTTTTAATGTTTACGTCTTTTAATGATCTTAGAAGTAAATGATTGTAAGCTCGTTAGATTCCTCTCATTGAAACACTAAGTTTGACTATAAGCATGTTGACTTTGGGCATCATTTGGCCTTATAATTAATTCTTTGAAACTTCTAATTTTCTTCGAAGTGCTTGATTCAGGTGCATTTGGATTCAGATTGGACTAATTTTATTGTCGTTAGGTTTGTCTCATTTAGATGTTCATTAAATCATAACTAATATAAAATAATAATCCAATTAATTATTACTTAATAGTTTATTATTTGATTAAATGTCATAATTTGAACATAATCAAATTTAGTTATAATTACTACTAATTTAAGATTTATTAACACCCACCCCCTCTCCTATCTATATAAATCTCATAAATTCTGAATTATTGGATTTAGTGATTTCTAAATTTAGGTAGGGGTAATATGTTTTAAAAGACTGTAGGATCTATGTACTAATTTTGACCAATTGGCAGGATTTATGATAAATCTTTTATAAATTCCGCTTACATTTAGCTACCAAATGGCCCCTTAAGAGGTTGTCCTTTTGAAAAGTTTTTAATATGATATAGTCAAGTGTTGATACGTTTACTTTTTTTTTTTTTTTTTGAAATGAGGAATAAGTTTTATGCATATAGAGCATATACCTCAAAATAAAATCATTAAATGAATTAAAACTATGAAAAATATAGCATTTGAGAGTAATCCTTCTCCTTATGACCCAATAATAAGTAAAATCATAATAATTTAAACTTGATTTTCTCCAAATAAAATTATTTGAGATCAATCTAAAATTCTCACAATAACTTCATAAAAATTCATACAACCACTCCTTAATATGCCAAAAGCCTAAGACAAACAAATACATAAACAGTAAATAGTAAGTCTAAAATAAACAAGTAAACTTGTCATAAAATAAATTATGGATAGTTTAGAATTCCAAATTCAAAAAACTCTCACTCCCTTCACCTAGCGTTTCTACTTTAGGAGGATCATCCTAATTGATTGCTTTGTTGCTCCTTTAATCCTCACTTTAGCAATATTCTATATTCTTATTTATCATCTTCAATCTAATTTTTTTTCCTTCCCTAATCAATAAAATCTAATAAGAATATTATTTAAAATAATAGCTGTATTGACATTTTATAATCTCCACTGCATAAAGTTTTAAATAAACCTTTTCTGGTAATTTCTTGTCAACTTTTGTTGTTTTGTTTACTTTTAAAAAAGTTAACTTTTAAGTCTTCCTAATGTAAGTTATCAGGCCAATTAGGATTTAGGTTACTAAAAAAAGCACTCAACCCTGAAATAGAAACGTAGACCTCATTAATTTCGCCTCAAGGAGCACCTCATTGTGCACCTCAAACAATTGAGATGTACACCTCTTTCTTCAATTGCTCAAGGCACTTTGCATGCACCTCGCCATGATGCACACCTCAAATTAGGCAAATTTAAACATTGAATTTAAGAATGCAATTAACATCATTACCTTGTTACTGGCATGATCTTGTGAGTGAGAGGAATGCCTCTGATCAAAACATCAAACTGTGGTTTGTTGTTATAGGTGAAGGTGGGAACTAAAGGAGCAGAAGAATTTGGTGACTACGAGGAGTGGTTTAACTATAGGGTTTCGAGAGCAGCCCCTAAATCATGTGCTGAGTTCCTTGGAAGTTTTGTTGCTGATCGAACTCGTCTTGAGTTTACAAAAGGAGGCAAATGGCTCGTGTGGAAATTTGAGGTATGAAACTTGTTATAATGGTTTGCACACCATGTCATGCACTGTTTTTTGATTGTGAAGTCAAAAGTAACTTTTTTTTTCTTGCCTTTACATGTACTTATGTTATGAATACTATTATGTTCGAGCTTTTTATTATTGATGTGTCATCTATAAATTTTATTATTTGGCATGAATCTCGAGTCTTTTTTTAGCAATAAATATTTTTTATTCTAATTAAAGATCATATAGGGCCCCGATTTTAGTAAGTTTTTATTTAAACTGTCCGTCTTGATATGACGAACCCAATGATACTAAAATGGGTTCAATTCAAATTAAATCAAGCACAGATCAAGTCATCAAAATATTTTTGTAGGTTTGGATCGTTAATTAGATGGTCATATGAACTCCAAATTTGATATATTTATATTCAAAGTGAGCATCTACATAAGAGGAATCCAATGAGTTTGAGCTCGCTGAATTCTGAAGTCATTAAGGTTTTCAAATCATAAAAAATAGTCTGTGATCAAGGGGGAATACGGGTCCGATCAAGTGGTTGGGGACATTATTCGCCAAAAAATTAAATTGCCTCTATTCTAGTGGTTATAAATAGACCCCCTCTCTTCACTTAAAGGAGAAGAGGAGAAGGAATTTCGAAGTCTGTTATGGGCTGAAGACTTGACGATAACTGTCAAAATTGTCAACCACCGCTCGTTGGTCGTCAGTCATCGACCACAACTTGCTGCCTCTGCTTGTTAATGACGTATCAATAATACGGTCATAACTTGCAACGCCATATTGAAAAGATGAATAACTTCTGGTCCCTATAGCCACCGACCATCATCGACCACAGCTGGTCGCTTTTGCTCGCCTTGTTAGCATCACCTGCTTCCTAACATCATATCTATAATACAGCCATAATATATAATATTGCATTGAAGATCCGTCATTAACTTTCGACAATCACCATTTTCAATCGCCGTATTCAGAATATAGTGATTCTTTCTGGACTCTTCAATTTTTCAATACATTGCTTACAAACAAGTGTTATATTTGATGCAAAATTATAACCCGGCTCTCCCAGTTGTGAGAAAATAATATATTTTTACACTTACATACTTATAGTGGCTTACTTTGATTAAGTTAGACCCAATGGTTTTTTTCATTCCAGGGTTTTTTCACATAAAAAAATTTTGGTACATTTTCCTATATCTCTCTATTATATATGTGTGTTGGATCTTCGTTCAACGCTAAGACAATAATTTAGTATTTAATCACCACAAATTTTTCGACACAACAGTTTAGCGCCATCTGTGAGAAGCGATGTCCCGTTGATAGAAGGCTACACTACATCGATGACTAACAAGGGCAATATATAAGCTTCTCGCTTTAATATTTGTCATTCCTGGGTGCAAACTCAATGTCTAGAACACCAAGCCTCTATTCTGTTTCTCAATAATTCACATCATCCTGCTATGAAAGAATTTTCTTAGAACCACTTGAAGATCATATACAAAGCATGGAGAAATCTCAAAATGAGATCCTTTGACTTTTACATGAGGCCCGACAACTAACAGTTTTGCATATTGGAGTGGCACAACTACCGCAAAATTCATTAACCAGAGGTGCACAGTTGGCACCCCCTCCATGCATTGAAGCTCCCCTTTGAGGCTGAACTATAGGACACTACTAAACTGTGCACCCCCTCCATGCATTGAAGCTCCCCTTTGAGGCTGAACTATAGGACACTACTAGCTCTAGACATCCATTCTCTATAGTCAAGCCTAGCAGCAAGCCTCTAACCCAGCAGCAAGCCTCTAACCCAGATGGACAACGTAGTTCGACCTCACATAATTCGTGACAAATTACGACATCTAGTACGCAAAGAGTTCTCTATGAGGGATACTAGTCATTTCTTAGATTGAGGTGGTTCTCAGGAGTCTTTTCTGTTCGTTGAGACTATCTTTCAACATCCTTTCCAACAAGATTTAAGCTTCCAAGCGTTGATGCTTATGATGTGATGTCTGACCCATATAAACATGTTGATCACTTTAGAACCATCATGCATATACAAAGAGCCTCTGATGCGCTTTTGTTAAGCTTTTCCCGCGATTCTTAAAAGCTAAGCACGCACTTGATTTTATTCACTCTTAGGGGGAGCATTATTATCTTTGATGAATTCACTTAAGTCTTTTTGTGGAGCAATTTATCGTGAATTGAAGAATTATCAAGGATTCCTCTCACTTTTTCAAATTCATCAAAATGAATGGGAGTCATTGAAAAATTAATTTTTTAGACTTTCGATCGAAGCTCGTCAAATCCGAGGAGTCGTAACTACTTAGGGGGACTATATTATGGTTCTTTCTACTTATCTTTGATGAGGGAGATAGTTCATTCATGTGTTGATATTGTCCATCATGTAGATGCAAAAATTACTTATGAAGAAACAATTAATACACAAAAAAAGTAATTTGAACAACAAGCAAGAAAATACAAGAACTCCATAGATATTGCTCAACTATCTTTGCAAAAGAAGTACGAGCGTCGAAAAAATTCTAGGTTGCTTGCTTGATTGTAGAGAAGTTAATCTCGGTCAGAGAAAGAGTATACGTCGCTTAACACATCATGTGTCAACATCCTGATAGTGATTCAGGATAAGAAAACTCTTAAGTGGCTACCTCAATTGAGGTCAAATACGGGGAATCAAAAACAGTACTATTACTTCCATTTAATTCGTTGCTGTAATGTTGAAACGTGTTTTCAACTCAAAAAGGAGATCGAATGGTCAATACGACAAGGTATTTAGGATAATTCATTCAAAGTAAGATCGTCAACACTAATAATGCCCCTACCGAGGGGCAGCAAGCTCAAAAGCAATAGTGAGAGAATTGTTAGACTATTGGCAAAATTGCAACGATCATGAGAGGATCATTTCTTTTTAAATAAGTGCCTTTCACTTCCTATGAAGGCCTTAGCCGAAAAAATCTCGTGCTAGTCACTCTATCACTTTTGATGAATCAGATCTTAAGAGGGTCCTGACCCCTCACCAAGATCCTCTTGTAATAAGTGTCGGAATTGGTGACCTTTGCTATAATGTAAAGAGAATCTTGATTGACAGAGGGAGTTCAGATGTTTTATTTTACTCAACTTTTCTTGGTTTGGAGTTCACTAGGAAAAAACTGCAATTTGATGTTGGGTCTCTCTATGAATTTGATAATCAATCGATGCATGTTGAGTGAGAAATCACTCTCCCCGTTGGTTACGAGTATGGTTGCAATCGAGCTGAGTCGAGTATATCATTGTTCGAACTTGGCTTAGTATAATTATAAGTTGTTCGTGTTCGACTAGAGCTTGTGTCGAGCTTTCATACATTGTTTAAGCTTAATTTATTTATTTTTTTTAATGTTTGAACTTGATTTATATTTGATTTGTTTATGGACAGTGAACGAGTATTTAAAGGAGCTTATAGACAAGGAAACAATTCAAATGAGAATCTAGATGTTCGTATAAAAAATTTAATAAATTATTTTGCAATTCTAATATCAGCTACTAATTTGTTGATTATAAACTCTAAAATATTTAAATTTTATGAATTAGTTGCATAACTCTTATTGTTTTGACTACACTAATTCAAATTTTGTAAGTGGAAGAGCTAAATTGATCATAAAAGTTATAGGGATGATTATTTACTTAATCATATTAATAATAAATTAATAGCAATAAGAAAATTCACACTAATTCAAATTTTGTAAGTGGAAGAACTAAATTGATAAAAAAAGTTATAGGGATGATTATTTACTTAATCATATTAAAAAGAAATTAATAGCAATAATACAATTCATTTTAAAGTTGTTCGTAATTATAGTGTGATGATCATAAAAAAAAACTCATTACATTCAAGATTAGAAAAACTTTTCAAAAAAATTTTCTTATGACATTCTCTTTAACTGCAAATATCTCATTATAAATTATCATTCACTTATTAATAAAATAAATATATAATTAATAATTAAACTAAAATGTTATTGATATAGTAATATATTATTTTTAAATTTATATTTTAAAAATTTTAGCTAATTAAATTTTATTTAACTAATATATATAATACGAGTTATTATCTAGTTTGATTTCGAGTATTTAATAAGTTACTTGTTGAAAGACAAACAAGTTTTTTCGTAAACATAAATGAACAAATTTGATTATGTTCATGTTCAATTTCTTTAAGTTTCGAACTTTTAAGAACGACTCAAACTTGTTTGTTTACTAATTTGAACAAACATGATCGAGCCTTAATCCCCTTCCAATGGCTCTATTGATAGACCAAAATTCGGAATTTTCGTGCCAAAAACCAAAAAATTTGAAATTTAGCTCCACTGCGTCCCCACTTCCATTCATATTCACTTATGGACCCCTCTGCCTTCTTAATGCATAATTGTACTTATTCGCTTGTTGGAACACGCATACGCGCCTGTGCATGCATGACTATTCCTCCATATGCTTATCACTCCCTCACAGTCATTGGTATCATAAGAGTAACATTGTCTGGCTCCACCATTATCTTCAGACCACAGCTTCCAGGCTGCCGCCCACTGTGATAATGACAACCTAATTCAAACTTCACATATTACTCTGGACAACTCAAAACACTTCAAAATATAAAGTTCTGTAATATTTAATTTTGGATAAAGCAAATGAGTCTGTCTGAAAATAGGGGGCAACTGATGAGTCATAAAAAAAGTTTATCATTTGACATGAATCTCGAAGCATTTTTGAGTAGAAATATTCTAGAATCAAATTAAAGATCATTCAGGGCCCCTATTTCAGCAATTTTATTGTCAAAATGATCTTAATTCAATGATACGAAAATTTGTTTAATTTGAATCCAGTCAAGCCATTAAATCACTTTTGTAGGCTTGTAATCGTCAATTGGATGGTCAAATGAATTTCAAATTTGACATATTTATATTTAAATCAAGTGTCTCTACGAAAGGAATACAACGACTATAAGGTCGGTTAATTCCAAGGTCATTAAGATTCTCAAATCATTTTAAAAACCCTTATGATAAAGGGGGATCAATATGAGTCGTCCGATCAGGTGGTTGGGGAAGTTATTCGCTAAAAGATATAATGTCCTTAAACTAAATAACCTTTTCATAGTCATTTTCTTTGAGAAGCCTGCATGTGCCTATCATTCCAAATACTTCATAGCGCAGATAGGAAAAAAGTTTCGTAAGTATGTATAATTGCACTAAAAATATGAATACCTCCCTAGTAAGAGAAGATGGTATTAATGCAATCAACAGCAATTTTGATGCCAGGAAGCTTATAAAGCTCCTCTAGATATTAGCATTGCAATGTAATATGTGAGATGCTATTTGAAAGTTTAATTGTATGATATGTAAGAATTGTGCGGTGTGTATATATATATATATATATATATAACAAAAAAAATATATGGATCGCAAAGTGCATTTGCGATCCATCTGTGTACTGTCCAAGATGAGCCTCAAAACCCAAGACCCCAGGGATCTTACATATTTTGTCTACCAAAGATTCAACCGGTTCGCGCGCGCGCACACACACAAATATATATATATATATACTTTTTTGGTTACCCGGATCATCCTTAAAAGTTGCTTACAAGAATTCACATCATGCAGGGTGACAGAACTCTGGCAAACTACTTGAACGGTCGCAATTTCCCATTCAACATAGAGTCGGTCATGTTCGGACGAATCCTTGAAGGACTCAACAACCCAATCAAAAGAAGCGCATTGATTATTAAACAGATAATGCGACAAATAATCACTTCTCTTAAAAGGATCCATGATACAGGCATTGTTCATCGTGATATAAAACCAGCCAATTTGGTGGTGACAAAAAAGGGTCAGATCAAACTTATAGATTTTGGTGCAGCGACGGATCTTCGCATTGGCAAGAACTACATACCTGATAGTGGATTGCTTGACCCTGATTACTGTCCCCCTGAACTTTTTGTGCTTCCAGAAGAAACTCCAACTCCTCCCGAACCTATTGCAGCCATTTTGTCTCCAGTTCTGTGGCAGGTTTATTCTAGTTTTTTTTTTCTCCATGCTCATTTACAATGAGCTGTTAAGAGTATTCCTGTTTAATTTTGAGAAACATTTTAGTCCCAGAGTTTATAAAGTTTCAATTTAATCTCTATGCTCTTTTAACGGCGGCTGAAATAGACTATTTTAGCACATATTTCAACACATATTTAAAGTGTATGGGGACTAATTTGGCACTTTTATAGATTCTGGGATTAAAATGGCCTCATGTAATAGTCAATGGACTATTTTGACACTTGGCTTAATTTGTCATCTCAAAGGAAAAAAAAACAAATATCCTTGCCTTAAAACAACTTTAGCTTGAATGAATAAATTGTAATTCTTTTCTTATTAGCATTTCGTTTGTTCTTTTTAGGGGACATTTATGTACATTTCACTCAATTCCTATGTATTTACATATCTAACACCTAAACTTTAATTTTTACATTAATACCACCAAAATTCTTCATATAACATAAAAAATACCGCCACTTCAACTTTTAAAAAGTGAAATACACCTTTTCACGTATAGGTAAAGTGGCATGTATGTGAAAATTGAAGCTTAGATATTAGATATGTAAATACATAAGAATTGACTGGTATATCTTCCTTTTTTTATTGCTGCAGCTTAATAGTCCTGATCTTTTTGATACGTACTCTGCCGGCATAATACTCATGCAAATGGCAGTCCCCAGTTTAAGATCTGCTGCTGCTCTGAAGAACTTTAATTCAGAACTGAAGGCAGTTGGCCATAATTTGATTAAATGGAGGGAAGTCACTCGTTCGAGGCCAGATCTGCGCATTCTAGATCTTGATTCAGGCAGAGGTTGGGACTTAGCGACGAAACTTGTTTCAGAGAGAGGCTTTCTTAGAAGAGGCCGGCTATCTGCAGCTGCTTCCCTAAGGCATCCATATTTCTTGTTGGGTGGAGATCAGGCTGCTGCTGTATTATCAAAATTGAGTTTGAACAAGCAATGAAATCACCCAACTTTCTGGTAATTTACACTTTTTATCTATTTTTGTTATGTTTCTGTAGTAGCTTCATATTATCTTATTCTATGTGATTATATAACCAAATTTTTCTTCAAGAGTTCAATCCAAATTTCTGGTCATTCAACTAAGCTTGACAGTCGAAGCTTTAATTGAGCTTTTTTGCATGATTTTCCCACCTCTGTTACTTTGTGCACGTACTTTTTTTTTTGTTTGTTTTGGATATATTTATTATTAGATTACTAGAATATTAATATATAGATTACTGTATTAATTGCTTTGATTTTCTTTTATTTACTTTCTTTTTTCCGTTTATTTTGTTTTTATATGTTTCCTTACTAGTAGATCTTGTAATAGGTATTTATACCCATTTTTTGCATCACTAATAATTAAATTGGGTTCTATTCTAACATGGTATCGGAGCAATAGCCCTAAGCTAGCAGCCGGCTAGGTCTGATGCCAGCCGTCGAAACCTCTGCCTCCCTGTCCAGATTCCTGCCGCTGGAACCTCTGGTCTCTTTGCATTTGGACAGGTCTACTCTCCCCTAATCGAGCCAACCAGGTTCCATGTTTACCATAGGTTCCCGCACTGCTTCAAGCTCTGATTCAGTAAGATGCCACATTGCTTTAGGTTTGCCGCATGTACCCCCACTACTTCAGGTTCCCGCACTGCTTCAGGTTCCCAAAATTGAGGATCTGTCGAACCCGTCTGCTTCAAGATCTGCCATCCAGAACCTCTGTTCTGGTCACCTAGGGGCACCTTCCAGCTGGCCAAAACCAGCGAGAACCCTTTCAGAGGCAATATTCCTCCGAACAGTCGAAAAGTTGTAATGTCTCGACAACCTAACATCTCATCTGGCTCAATCGAAGTCACGGTAGACTCCTCCAGCATTGAGTCATTATTAGAAGATGTTCATGATTCCTCCGGATGATCAATTCTAACCTTCGTTCCTCCACAGACCGGAAAACATAAAAATAACATTAACTTATTGATTGCAACCCATGAACTAAACAACAGTAAGTTTATCCAGTGGTCCCATTCTGCGTCATTTGTCAAAGGGCGTGAGAAATTCTATCATCTCACTGGTGTGATTCGTAAACCTCTAAAGGGTGACCCAACATATGAAGCTTGGGAAGTGGAGAATAGTGGTTGATCAACTCCATGGAGACTTCTATTGGTTGATCATACATGCTCCTTCTTTCTGCTAAGGCTCTCTGGACGGCAGTCTGTGCTACCTACTCAGATGTAAGGAACTCCAATTAACTTTATAAGGTACTAAGAAAATTTGTGAGGCAAAACAAAGTTAGAGGACCGAGACTCGGTTACAATAATCTAGTTTCATCATGGGTGTAATGCGACCTGTATTATGACTACACTTGGGAATCTCTGGCTGACCTATTTCTCTTCCAGAAAATTATCGAAAGGACTGCATGTTCCAATTTTTCGCAGGCCTCAACAAAGATCTTGACAAATTTCAATGTCATATCCTTGGTCGAGATCCTTTTCCTTCTACTCACGCTGTTTTCACTGAGATTCTTCGCAAAGAGAGCAGGGGTTCTTAATCCCAGGTTGGTCACCTCACTTGTGTTAGTGTCACAAGCCCAACCAGACTCGTGATAAATGTTAGAAGCTCCATAAAAAAACACCCCATCCAAACTTTTGGCCAAATCTTCTGCTGACAAAGGTCTCGTTAAAAATTCTGAATTCAATACAGTATAGTCAGTATCTACTAAAAACTATATGGAATCCTCCAACTCTCGCACAAGTCAAATGGAGCACTAATCAAGTTGTTTGGATCCAACTTGCTCTCTTCCGACCCTTCGACCTCCCATGTTCGTCAAGGTATCAATCTTATAACACTCACTTATTTTGCCCCTTCTAGTCCATAGATCATTGATTCAGGTGCCACAGACCACATGACTGGAAGCTCTCAAACCTTCTCAACATACTATCATTGTTCAATGAAAGATACTATTAAAATTGTTGATTGATCCCAAAGTTTCATTGTTGGTAAAGGTTTTGTTATTTTAACAACAGGTCTAACTCTAGAATCTGCGGTACATGTATCTCTGTTGTAGTATAAAATTTTATCTGTCAGTAAGTTGACATATGACATTGTCGGCACTATTTTGGTTTGGAGGAGTTGTCCGTAAGAAGCTGTCAGTCACCAGAATCGAAATCCCGTCGCCCGCTTTGGAAGGACATTTTAATATTTAGAAAAATATGAAACAAAACTGACCCCATATTTTTCATAGTTTAAAT